ACAACTCTGAGCTATTAGTTAAGTTCTCCCCAAGCGAGCTCGATGGGCCGAATGGCCTCCTCTCGTTTGTATAGTTCTTATGTTCTTATGTACATCAGCAGTGCTCCTTTCCATGCCAGCAGCCCCATCAACCTCCTCCCCACAGGCAAGAGCCCCAGGCAGATGTATCTGCGTGGACCACAGTATGGCTGGAGGTAAGATTAATATTTAGAATAATCTTGAATGATGTTTAAAGATAAAAATTACCAAGATATTTGAAAGTTGCTTTTTTAACCTTTTTTTAAAGTTAATTTTTGTAATATCCTTTCTTACCAGTGAAAGACAACTGTTTGACAACCAGGTTATCAGGAGTTTAAGAGGAACCTGAGGAGAAACTGCTGTTTGTTCTGTGTTTTTTTTTTTCTTCAAGGATTTGTAAATAATGTAAATAAAATAAACCATTTTCCCCCATATTTATCTGGGTTGGTTGTTTCTGATGTGAATTTAATGGTGTTTGTTGGAGAGTAAAATAACATTTCCCACACCTGTAACGTAACAAATTTGTATGTCTTAATTCAACTTTAAACACTATCAAACTTTTAAATAACAATATGAAATATTCTGTAATACACTAGAGCTTTCATTGATCATGTACACTGGGTGTTCTTTACATAGTTCTTTGTAGCAACTTGAGGAACGTTATTGCATAAAAGATGAGGATCTTTGAAACAGTGAAAGCATTACAGAATTATAATGTATGTATGCCATTAAACAATATAATAATCAAAACTTTGATAACATGAAGAAATTCTCTTTTATGCCTCCCCGAACTTGACGCAGATAAATTCTTAAGTGTATCCGCTGAAGAATTTTTTCATAAAATTAATATTTTAATATATATATAATATTTCTCACATCTGGATTGCAATATATCATACGATAATTAGGGTATATATAGAAACGTATGACATATTCCAATCCAAATGTGAAAGAAGCGCTAAAATCTCATAAATCGGTGAAGTTTACACATTAGTTGTTGTAGTCAAACCATTATGTCTTCGCAAGGCTGCCATAGTCACTGAGCGCAGTTTCGAATTGGTCCTGCCCATCCATGTACCCATATAAGGCTACTGCGTGACATCTCGCCCCGCCCCATCCCGCAGGCTGCAGCGAGGACCTTCTCGAATGATAAGCCGATTCAGTCGGAAACTGCATTTTACTTCTCATTCCAAATAAGTTAAAATTAAATAAACTTTGCTCAGCTGCATGGAGTGAGATTTTCTGTTCTCTGTTCTGCCCACACGTTTACATGTAGGCTATATACGTTTTATTACTTTGTAAGTAGTCTGTAGGGTTTGCAAACTGCCGTAACGTTTTTGATGCAGCTAATTTTAAGTTCAGAATGGAATATACATTTGCCGTAAGATTTCTTGCGTGAGAGTCTGAAAGTTTTCAACCTTGAATACGTACTTTTTTTTGTTTCACCTGAATTGATTTGTATAGAAAATAACCGCATACAGTTCTTAAAAAGCGGAAACTTCAACATTTTATAAAATGCACACTACGTTTAGAAATTTCCAGCTTTACGGTTTCAGGACAGAATAGCCACTCTGTTATGAACATTACGGCTTTTTGAGTGTTGTTAGCTGCTGTTAACACATTAGCGCAAACAAAAGGGCTGCATACACCGAAGTAGTTCTTGCTTCTTCATTGGCGTGGGAAAAGGCGGTTCTAGTGTTATTAGGGGGGTAATCAGCGTTACCTGCAAAATCGCTATTTTTCTTTTTGCTGCAATTGTTTTCATTATTACTTTATTTAACTTGACACACCACATCTTTAAATTCTCATCCTTGCATTAAAATATAGACCAGTTAATATTGATGGTATCTCATGCTACACACTGAATATTGAACTGAAGCTTGACATTAAAAAATTAAACCACAAATCAAATCGTAATCGCAATGTTTGTCAGAAAAATCGCGATTAGATATTTTCCCCAAATCGTGCAGCCCTAGGTTCTGTCATGACCTGCTCGTACGATCCTTCCGTGTACCACGCCCCCCTCGTTACCTCGTGTGAAACCCCGATTGTTTTCAGCTGTTTCGTGTCATTCCTGATTAGTCCTGTGTATTTAAGTCAGCGTTCAAGTCTGTTTCTCCAGTCCGCTCATTAATGTTGCTTGTCTTGGAAGTTCTATCCAGTAAATAAAGTCCTTTGTTCATATCCACGGCTTCGTTCGCTTCGTAAGAAATCATTTATTAGTAACATCGTCATTCTTCCTATAGGAGAAATTACGTCACTTTTTGCATTCATGTCTATTGGGCTTTTAATTTCCGATATCCACAATTATTTCAGATATCCAGAATGTTCTTTTTGGATATCTGCAATTGAATTCTTACTAGGAAAAACTCCCATTTCAGATATCTACAATCCTATTGTTACTATAGTCATATTTTTAATTTCAGATATCCGAAAGGATACCACCATTTTAGATATCCATAATGTAATTTTGAATATCCTAAATTAAATGAAGTCGCACGCACCCTATATATTGCCAGTCCCCCACTGGGTCATCCAAATTAAAACCTTCAGTTCGTCTGCAAGTGACGCGTCGGTAGGCGTGAAGGAGCGTGTTTAACCGTGCGACAACCGAATCTTGAGTATAACTGAACTGCAGTTCCAGTTCGTTGCCATGATCATGCTTGATATGTGTGATAGCTTTCAGGGAAATCATACTTGCATGTTTTAAAAGCTTGCACGTCTCCGGATTGGAATGCGTTAGTGCGAGCTAGTGTTTTATTTTGGCGGATCTCTGTAATGTGGTGTTTGCGGTTTCTGGTTGGGAAGTGAGAGGACAGCAAAAAATTTTGTTTGGGGGAGCCACCAGTTTATGGGGTGGCGGCGCCGAACCATGTGTCTTATGTGGACACGCATAGAAAATAATCTAAATTTCGCATTTATTATTTTGATGTGGGGTAACAATAGGGACGGCCGCTTATTTACTATAGGAGTGAAATGCCCCATTTCCACCCCTGGCGGGGGCAGAGTCTTCTGCATATTTCCTGCAGTCTGTGACAACTTTCGCATACTCCTCCATGTTGGAAGCGGAGTTTCTGAACTTGTCCCAGTGTACACCCCTCCGGCTCCCGGCTCCTGCACTTTACCGATCCCGTCACAGACTCCTCATTCAGTGACAAATTTAACACAGGAAGCTTGGATACACTCATATTGGAAAGCCAAAAAAATGAACGGATTATCACTTAAGATATATAGCCAGAGCTTACGACTCATCAAACTCATATGTACAAATACAGAATATGAGTGTAGGAAAACGGCAACATCCTCAAGGAGCCAGACAATTAAAAAAGAAAATAAGTAATGTAGACCAAATTTTTTACGATTTAATGTTTCAGTTTTCAACCCCCCCATAAAGTTAAATCCTCAACATCTTCAGACAGCATAGGGTAGGGGAATGCAGGGCACATGGCCCAAGATATTAGTGCATTGCAGCAGTGCTTGAAGTGGGAAAAAATAAGTGCAGGAACTCTAATTTTCCGACATTTGACATTTGTGCGGTGAAAAAAAAATCAAGTCTTTAGGATGTGTTAATTGGTTCAAAAACTATTTTAATTTAATCATTCTTCCAAGCAATAACCTATAGGCATAGGCTATTTTTTTCTAATTCACAAATGGAATACTGAAAAACCATTAAAACAACATGTAGTCTTTTATCGGTCTTGTGATATTGTCTATTCTCGGGCCACTGTCGCTGCGTCGGATCAGTTTCAGTAAATACCGGAACGCAGAAAAAAGTGGCGGAACCCAAAAGACGAAAATACAGAAGTTCCGGCCCACTTCAAGCACTGCATTGCAGGACACACTCTCCCCCTCCCCCCTTCTCTCTCTCTCTCTCTCTCTCTCTCTCTCTCTCACACACACACACACACTTATTGCATGCTCTCTTACACTGGGGCAAATTATGTGAGAGAATTGAAAAAACATCACTGTTGTAAACAGAGTACTGTGCAGATGTAGAGGAAGGAAAATTGAATGAGGCCCATATTCCATATAAGCACCATACACATTTATTGAACAGCCGAAATAGTATCCCACTGAATTTTCATCAGGTCTATAAAATGTATACGTACAGCAGCATTTAGTGTGAGAACCTTCTTCATTTAATAAAGGCGCATGCATGTCCTTTACATTCCATATACAAAACACTTTAAATTCATGTGCTATATTTCACTGATTTAGAAAAATAAGAACTGTCATGAGATGTCAAAGCTCTAAAAAATGATAATCATTCTTCCATTTTCCAAGCTGCTAATACAGTTTAGTTCCCAGGTTAAGAACGTCAGATTTACAGACAGCTCAAGTTTACAAACAAACTGCCATAGAGCCTATTATATGAAACATTGAGTTAAGCACAGTGGTTTGTAATCATGACCACACACACTACTTTATGATGCTCATGAAAACATTGCATGGTTTAAGTGGTCCGTCGGCGCTGCCATTTTAAGTCAGATCACTTTGCGGTTAACTTAGCTACAAATTTGACTTAAGACAGACTTAGGAACGGATCTCGTTCGTTACCTGAGACTGCCTGTACTTAATTACAACTTTAAAGCTTTAAAATTAATATTTTTAATAGAAAAAATACAGAAATTTTGTGTTGCGTAAATGTTAACTACTGAGTACATAGTGATTTCTGTATTATAATGAAGTACAATTTAAAGAGCATAAATGCTGCAATTTTCACGCATTTCATCTGTGTATTCTCACAACTCCATGCGAAACGATGGGCCCCGGTCTGACATCAGCTGGCGGTATTCCTTCTCAAATCTTTCATTTTGTGCTACAGTGAACATGTTTTTCCAGTCACCAACCTCGCCTGACAAAGGAAAGGAAGGTCTCGGATATAACTGCTACCTGCACCAATCAAAAATCAGAACACAATGCATGGGCTGCATTTTAAGGATACTTACCTTTCCTCATAAAGGGGGATACCGATTGGTCAAAAATATTTGCAGGAAGTAAGCTAAAGTTGGTCATCGGATTTTGTTTCATATTTTTGAAGGACGTGTGCTCAATTATCCGGTCAACTGCTTCCCGATCAAGCTTCTTGCTGAGGAAGTTGGACAGCTTCGCAATCTCCCGTGCAGGGTTCTGTTATCAGGATTGAGAAAAGACGGCTGAGAAACAGACAACAGAGTGAAAGGCAATGAAGACGCATCTTAAATACTTAACGGCTCATTCCCCCTCGCCTTTCTCGCACCTCTTTTATGTCTTCAAAGAAGAGGTAGAGTATCCTGTGGTTGTTCTTCTCCTTCCACCAGCCAGTCACGTGGTCAAACCATGAACCCCAGGCCACTGGAAGGAGTGTGACACAGGGGGTGCTTAACAGAAAATACTGTGTATTTTGGCAGCATATAGGGCATAATGGGGGTGGTGTGTGGGTTAGCGGATTAGGACTTTGTTCCTATGATCTCAAGGTCCTCGATTCAAATTCCATGGTCAGCAGAACAATTTTACACTGTGGCTTTGTGCAAGGCCCTCAACCCCAACAGCTCCAGGAATTGGCTGACCCTGCTTTCTCCAGTTTTTGTTGCTTTGGATATAAGCTAGTATATGATGTTTGCATGAACATAATGGCATAATCATTGCATTTGTTTTATTTTACTCAGATGGCTGAATACCTACACCGCTAGGGCTGCAGCGTATGCGAATAAAAATACGGAAAACAGCATCTAACTGTCAAGGTCAGCTCCTGTCCCACTCTGTGTCCCTTCTTCGTTTGGCCAGCAGGCGTCGCTGGTCATCCTGTCCCTCGTGTTGTCAGTCTTTGTGTTTTCCCCTAATCCCTGTCAGCCGCATGGCTCAACGCATTGAACATGTGGCTGCCTGTGATCCCTCTGTTATATTTGAATCCTGCCTCCTCTGTTTTTGTAGATTTTGTTCCCTAGTGTCTCATTGTATGAGTTTTTCTAGTTCCTGTGTCTTTTGTTTTATATTTGGTTTTGGTTAAATTATTTGTGCCCATGCTTGTGTTTCTACCTGTCTGTTACTCCCCAGTGTTAGTTTCTGTTTCCTTGGTTAGTTCTTAGTTTCCCTGTTCAGTTCCCTGAGTTAATTAGTTTCACCTGTTGCCTGTTCTTGTGCCTGCCCTTGTGTGTTTTCCTGATTGCTTGTTGTCCTGCACCTTCCCCTATTGGTTAATTGTCTGTTTCACTCCTGTTTTTTCAAATGGTAGATTACCTAGATGCAAATAACATTATAAAGGATAGCCAACATGGATTTAGGAGAGGTAGATCCTGCTTAAAGAATCTACTTGAGTTCTTTGACGAACGTTTTGCCCAGGGGCCCACACAACCCATAATCCGTCCCTGGCCTGACCCCCTTTGTAAATTTAGTTTTTGTTTATCCCCTTTAGTTTCTGACCCCTTGTGGTCCTTTTGGTTTGTTTTTTTGTAGTGTTCTTAGTGTTTTCTGTTTTGTTTAATAAATCCCCATTTGTCCCGTGAGCCGCCAGTGGGTCATCCATTTCTGTTCCAACCTGCACTATGCCTGTTCCCCACACCAAACCCCCCCGGATTCGTAACACTAACCTTGTCCAGTGAGGAAACTATCAAAAAACTGGTTCCAGTCTCCAGGTTCTGGAAGTTTCTTATTCATTCGGTGGAAGTGAAAATAACTCACTGCTGTGTCTTTGGCATTGCGTGCCACATACACCATCTGAGTGAAATACAAAAAATCCCAGCATGGTCAGTGTAAGAACATGCACAGCTGATGCATGCATCTCATGAACTCATGCATAAAGTTGGCGCTCTTCCTACCTTGCAGTTCTGATCCACAAATGAGGGAGGCAGGAGATGGAAGGGGAGATGAGTTTTTATTAGGCGTGGAGAGGGTTGATTCTGCAAAATATCTATTCCTGAAATAGAGAGATTGGGAGGCAAAAATATGATTAGGTTAATGCAGACTTGTGTACATGCACTTCATTATTAAGTATTAGAAATATGTACAGGGGCTAGACAAAATCAGTTAAAAAACTGCAAAGTTATTTTATTTGGCAAAGGAAAGATACTTGGATGCCAGAATGCCAAACATGGACAAAAGGCATCAATGAACAGTGGTCACAAGTAGAAGCTTAACGAGAGGGATGGATGGTCACCTAACAGGACAGTGGCCTTGCAAGCTCCACACATCTGGAATTTATTACAGAATTGCCATTCAGAAACCCCTTTGTATAAAAGGCCATTGCACAAAAGACCCATTATAGAACCGGCACCCCAAAAAAATGTCATGACCCATTTTTGACCCTTCCCTTACATCCAGATCAGGTTCCCTGCCAAAAGAAAAAATGTCAGTTGTCAATTCATAAACAAAGTGTGGGGGGGTGGGAGTGTCTGTGCAGCTATGTAGAGGGGGTCATCAGGACCCATGATCATTCAGCACGGTTGTATAACAGCAAAGGAATTGAAAGCCGCTTTACAAGACTCTCCCCTCATGATAATGCATGTTAAAAATTATACATACTGCTAAATAAATCCAAGCAGTTATACACCATCCCTAAGCCTAGATGAAGGCATTTCTTCCTAAAAAAAATACCCCCTGGACACAGTTAAAGATATTTATGACTGCATTCCATGGAGGCTTGAAGCTGTTCTCAAGGCAAATTCTGGCCCTACTCCCTATTATGTCCTAGTGAGTTTTTGTTTTGTCCACTGCTTGAATATGCAAACGCCGAGCATTAGAACCAGCACGTGTAACTGACCAGAGGGAAACGGCGGGGGTGGGTTCAGTTCCAAGAAAGGAGCTCTCATCATTGAAGGGATCTGCAGGCACCCCGATATGTCACCCCCTCTCCTTACGACATCCACCATCTCTATTGCCCATGATGTCCCTGTCCAGAAAGTGCAGAGAGACATGATTAATGCAGAGTTCAGCATGGAGGACCCTACCAGATGAACAGCACAAATTTAGAAACAACTGCAGAGAAGCTAACAGTCCTGCTACTGAGCCAGAATGGTCAGATAATGTGGACAAGGGACACTCACCTGCTTTAGGGAATGTGGCAATAAGAGTATCATCTGGTCTGGCCTGGAATTCCTGGAGCTCTCTCCACCGCTCCATCACAGAAGGCACGAAGCACACGCCCCCCACGCCATCAACAAGTTCCTCCCTCCCCCCTGCATCAGTTCCTTGGCCCTGCATCTCTTGGAGGGGCAGGAAGCAGCGTGAGAGGTTAATGGAATGCCTATTTGTGGGCGCATGTGCCACAAATCAGTCAACTGCATTACACGTACGATGAAAAGAGCGTTAAGCAAAACAGAGCAACACCAACATCATCGATCTTCAATACATCAACACCGTCTTCATTTGAGAGTTATATGAATTATAGAGAAATTATAGAAATGAATGTAGAATTTTACGTTTTCAAACACTTATTCCTCATTAGGTTGATTACACTGGCAAGAATCAAACTATCTAAACTATCAAAAAATCTAAATTATTTCATTTTAAAAGTAAAAAAGAGCTAAAAGTTAATATTAAACAGTGATCTGGCATCATAAAAAGTAATACGTTATTTCATAGGAATTTTCCTGTATGCAAAATTTGTTACAAATTGAAAAAATACCAAACGAATGATTTATTATTTGTAACCAATATACAAATATCCATTTTTGCAACAAATGTATGAACTTACCGTTTTATTTCTCCTCTAATCTTCTCCAAACACATCTGCCACCCTGCTTTTAAAGTAAAACAGTGGGAGGGAATAAGTGTTTTTTCGCCCTTACAGCTACGTCAGCGCGGCATGTTTCCATGGGCAAGGCAATATATTTTCCGGCCAATCAACGACGAGTGCGCTGATCGCTTGTTGCTAAAGTCCGCTGAAGTACTTCGTTGCGTGTGAAGGATTTGCGGTTGCGTGACAGAAGGAAAACTAGGCAGACTCAGGGGGTGCGTAAGGTGACTTGTTGCGTGAGAATGGAAATATTCGCTTGCGTGCCAAAGATACGCTCTTACCACGAAATATCTAAGTAGTCCGAATTTGGCTGTGCACGTTACAGTAAAATGAAAATGATCCCAACTTACCAATGTAACCGCTAAAAGGAAAGCACGAAATAACTCCCGCATAGCTGATTCATATCTAACATTCCATAAACATCGGATGGAAAAGCCGTGCGACACAGAGCGTTACTGCAGCCATCCTGTAAATATGTAAGCTTAATATCGTACTGTTGCAAAGAATCCCAGTTCAGTCTGAAGCTGACCCCTTTACCTATGCTACGTGTGTTCACTCTACTGCTTCATGACCAAGAAATAGGATTTCTGGGTATGTACTGTAAGTAACAAACTCATTAATGTATTTATTATTTTAACAAAAATACAATGTAAGTGATAAATGTTACATAAGTACATGAAGCTACACATTTAACTTTGTGCTGGATGTTTACATTGTGAGGATCATATTGGCCTATTAACTCACCTTGATAGGGATTAGCCTGTTAGTGATGTGGCCAGTTCGCAGTGTTGGGGGCCTGAACCCAAAACCACCCCACATTAGAGCAATAAAAGTGAACTTATAACCTACAGGTGGCTGGTATGGCTAGGACTAATTTGCCTGTGGATGCTTATGTAATGTCATAAAGTGGAATGCTATTTACAACTTTGTATAAAGAAATAAAAAACATAAACTTTGTCTACCCCCATGTATTTTTGATAACTACTTATCAACTTAAGATTTTTATATATCTCAAAAACTGGTGCAAACCTATACACGTTCCTTGGTAGATAAATAAAAACAGAAGCACCCTTTGGATTCTGAACAGTTTCAATGGTGGTCATGCATGTCCTGAATCGTGTGCTGTTCCATACTGGACCATTCTTCCACAAGAAAAGTCTTCCGTTGTTTAAGGGGAGAAGAAAATGGACATCTGCTATTCACGCTGCACTCCTGAACATCCCATAAACATCCCATAAAGATGGATTGATGTTCATATCGCAGATATTTGTGATGTATGAAAAATAATGAGGCCACAATAAATTATTTCATAACTTTTCCCACCTTTAACATGACCTTGTCACAATGAGGCATGGTGCAGGTGGGAAAAGAGTGTGACGATCCACTTGCGACTCGGAGACACAAAGGGGATTATTAAAGAAACTGAACACATTTGGCAAAATTACAAAACAAAATGACCATGAGGTCTAAACAAACGGGGAAAAATAACAGAGCAATCTAAGAAACCAATAACACAGCCGGGTCATTCCATGTCAAATCATCACACTTTCGGACCTTATCGTCATGGATTTTAATGAAACTTGGCATGCTGATTTGGTCACATGAGTAACTCGTGAAGCTGAAATTGGGCATGTCTGGGGTCAATATTGAGGGAGATTTAAACGAACAAAACTTTAACTTCTTTGGGGGGGGGGGCTATGACTTTGACTGGCTGTATTTACCTTAATGTAAGCTGCACAGAAGGGGTCCTTATATTGTTTTAAAGCTATTGTCCAGCTATGTAGATTGAACAAATAATATGCAGTCCCCACATGAATAATTACTATGTAATAACCGATTAAAATATTAAAAATGAAAAACTAAAAAATCTATATTTCAAAATTGTGATTCACTGAGCTATGAACTATGCATTTAAATTCACTGAGCTATGCCGCAGCCTGGGGAACAGGGAACACAGACTAGGGACTTAGGTACACTGGGTCTGAAGGGCAAGAGGCAGAGAAGAAGACAGGATGGGGAGGAGGGCAGGGTTGGATGGGTGCTGACCCTGACAGACTTATAATCTGTACAATTCAATTGAAAAACAAACAAATCTGTTAGGGGGAAAAATATTTTTTTTAATAAAAAAAAACACACAATAAGCTGGTTGCATAAGTGTGCACACCCATAAACTAATACTTTGCTGAAGCACCTTTTAATTTAATTCCAGGATTCAGTCTTTCTGGGTAGGAGTCTATCAGCATGCCACATCTTGACTTAGCAATCGTTGCTGACTTTCCCTTGCAAAAAATGCTCAAAATCTCTTAGATTGCAAGGGCATCTCTTGTGCATGGCCCTCTTCAGGTCACCCCACAGATTTTCAGATTTAGGTTTGGCCTCTGGCTGGGCCACTCTAAAACTTGAATATTTTTTTGTTCTTCAACCTTCTTTTGTTGATTTGGATGTATGCTTGGGGTCATTGTTGCACAGAAAGGTGAAATTCCTCTTGATTTTCAGGTTTTGGGGCAAAATTGACTGGTATGACTGGTAACTGTTCATAATTCCTTCCACCTTGACTAAAGCCCCAGTTCCAGCAAAGGAAAAACAACCCCAGAGCATGATGCTGCCACCACATTTCACTGTGGGTATGGTGTTCTTTTGGTGATGCGCAGTGTTGCTTTTGCGTCAAGCATAACTTGTGGCACAGTGGCCAAAAAGTTCAACCTTGGGCATATGGAGAATACGGGAGATTGTTGACACATGTAGTACCCAACCAGTACTTGCCAGAAATTTCTGCAGCTCCTTCAGTGTTGCTGTAGGCCTCTTGGCAGCCTCCCTGACCAGTTTTCGCCTTGTCTTTTCATCAATTTTGGAGGGACGTCCAGTTCTCAGTAACATCACCATGGCCCCATATTTTCTCCACTTTTTGATGACAGTCTGCACTGTGTCCACGGTATATCTAATGCCGTGGAATTTTTTTTACCCTTCTACTGACTGATACTTTCAACAATGAGATCCTTTTCATGCTTTGTAAGCTCTCTATGAACCATGGCTTTTGCTGTAGGATACAATTGAGTAAATATCAGGAAAACCCTACTAGGACAGCTGAACTTTATTTAGGGTTAATCAGAAACATTTAAACATTTAAATTTTTTAAAATTTTTATATTTTCCCCCTAACACATTTGTTTGTTTTTCAATTGAATTGTACAGGTTAAAGGTCACATTAAAGCATTAAAGGTGGGAAAAGCCGTCTCATTTTTTCTATCACAAAAACCTGGCATTTTAACAAAGACTGGGGAACCCATGGAAGATACTTCACTTCATCCTGGTGTTCATGGAACCATGCAGTATGTATGAGACCATTATCATCTTGGGGGTGGCATGGGATACTGGGATACATGGGATACTGTGGGTTAGCACTGTGATCAGAAAGTTGCCGGTACAAACACTGTGGGTGGCAGAGTGATTTCAACTGAGGGCTTCAGCAAGGCCATTAGTCCCAAATGCTCAGGAACTGGCTGACCCTCGTTTGTACATTACATCACATCACCATAAAACCATCTACTACAAAAATACATTTAAATTTGGGAATATCATGATGCAAGAGTACTTGCATCATAGGGTGCACCTGATTCATAAAATGGTCTTGTATTCCTGTTTTTATATGGAGAACAGTCATGGATCCTAATGATTCCAACAATATACCTGCCCATACCATTACAGATCTCCCACCATGTTTAAAATTTGGCAACAGATGCAATGGGCTGCTTTAGTCCTTCTCATCCAGATGTCCAGGGTCTAGGTTTTGTGCTTCTTAACCCAGGTTATTATGTGTACTGACCTTGAGTATCAGTTTAGTCGGGGTCACGGCGGTGCTAATTCGGTCCTATGGTGATTGTGGAGGGCATGCTTTTGTGGTGTCCAGCAACTTATGCAGCAACTTGCTCCTTGCTGAACTGTATCTAGTCTTTGCATTCCTGATTGATGACTCTTGGTTTGACACTGGCCTCATACATCCTGAGTTGTCGGTTCCATTCTGTGTTTAGGTCTTTCCCAGGGATAAATAGACTCATGAAGCAAACATGAAGACGGAATGGCAAGCCTGCCATTTGTTAGGGCAGGCAGTCCCTGGGTTAAGAATGGCCACTTATGAACAGCTCGTATTTACAAACGGACTGCCTTAACCTCCTGAGACCCTACGTCCTCATATAAGGACATCATTTTTGTTTAAAACTATTCATTGTTAAAAAAAAATAATGTTTGGTTTTTATGATTATGAGGTACTACTTATCCCAAATAGCTAAAGGAAATAAAACATGCACACCAAACAAAAGCCTGGGACTCAGGAGGATAAAGCCTATTATATTAAAAATTTGCATTAAATACAATGGTTCGTAATAACAAATGCATGCACTACTTTGTCACACTCATGAAAACATTGCGTGGTTTCAGTGGGTTATTGGCTACAGTACAGTAAAGTACTGTATGTAGTTAGGTCTTCCCCATGTTTTTTTTTTTTTTTGGGGGGGGGGGTTCACTCCAAGTATTCCACTTTCCTTCTGCATGCTTAAAACTTGCAGTTGAGTGAGCTGATACAGAACACACAAATAACAAATAAGTACTAAACATTTTGCTGTGTTTTGCCCAATCATTCGTTGATTATTCCGGGTCATTTATAATAATTCAGTTTTGCTAGATGACTCCATACAACTCACTTTGCTTAAACATCCACAAAAGTCCCAGGACTATGCCACATTTTATATATTATTTTATATGAAATAAAATCTGCCATGAAAACCACTGCTTGAATTCAGGAAATATCATTTTTATTACATACATTTCCTTCATCACCAAGTTAAAAACTGCACTTTCTGCGCAGATGTAACAGCATTTATATAAAGCATCGTTTAAGAAATTCTTGCCATTAGCTGGGTCTTCCATTATAGGACAGGTTTCTGAAGTCAAGGTAGGCTGTACCTGAGACGCGTACAGCCATCTGAAGATTGCACTGACAGACAATGTACCTCATGGTTCTCATTCTATTTTATCTCTGAGTGAATGTGTCAGGCTGAAATGCTAGTTGAAAGATGTACATATGAGGAGCCTATATGAGCTCTGGTCTGGTTTCCCTTCAGGACCTTGGGAACTGTTAACCCAATAACATATCATGAACCTGTGAGCCCCATCAGAGTGTGATGTAGATGTAGGCTATGGGTGCTCTTCATGTCCTTAGAGAACACTGATTTCAGTATATTTTAATAAGGCATCAAAGACTTTCTTCCGAAACCTTCTATATTAAGATAATGAGTTTGTCTTTGTTTATCGCATGTTCATGACGATGGCTAATTACGTTGGAATGTACTTTACAAGTTTGCAAAATAAAAAAGAAAGCTGTGTCTTAAAAACGTACATTACTCCATGCTCCTCACTCTGCAAATATGTATGCAAGGATTCCCTGGACTGCACCAGATATTAGAAGTCCACTTTGGTTTTGGTCTTAAAAGGAATGCTTGTGGTTTTCATTTGTCTTTCATAATCTTCTTCAAATAACTGCAGCTGGTCTAGGGAGAAATGATTGGCCCAGTCACCCACTTCTCCTACAGATAAGAAGAAAGAGTCATCACACAACCACATGCTGTGCCAAACGCGCCACCTCGGCTTAGTGCCGTTTCCCCGTCTATTCCAGATGGACTGTGTCTGCACCTGCTTCCGGATCTTTCCTTTATTTAGCCATGTGAGAATTCCAACAGGCATCTTCTGTAAAAATCAAACATTTCATGCCATTTTGAAATAGCTCCCAGCTGTTTTTTGGGGTGTCATAAGTAACTCGTTAATTTATCCCATTGAAATGCTGCCACTAGATGGGACTGAATTTAATATTGGTGACACATTGTTGGGTGTGTGTCTGCTCTATGGGTGGAAGAGGGAATGCTCTTAAAAGGACAAAACATCGAAACTGCGCTGAGAAACCTTCAAATGGGAAAGAAAAAAGCAAGGAAAACAAAAATAATTAAATCATAAGACAAAGCAGAGCAGTCTAATAAAAGGCAGGCTTGCTAATATGTCTTCATGAGTCTTGTCTCCTGTACATTTTACACAACTAATCCTATTTATCCGTGACATGTGATTATGCCATTCAGAACAATCGCCAAGGAAACACAAAGCAACCACAGGAGTTACACAAATCATCTGTTCCTCTGTCTTCCAGCCCCTTGACCAGGACAGCGTCATGGGGACCTCAAGCCCATCACAGAGAGAAAGGAGAGGTAAGGAGCATACACTGATTACAATGCATTGCCAAACCCACCATACCACCCCAGGGATGAGTGCCTGAGTGCAGCAGGCGATACCTTAGAACCACACTAGTCCAAATGGAACAGTGACTTTTTTTTTTTCCAGTGGCTGGAATGCCAATCCTGCCACCAACCCCCAAATTCCCACTGTAAGTTAGAGGACCTCCTTGCAGGGCTGGCTGTAGATTAATGTTATACCCAAGATGAAACAATTGCAAGTTAAGGGCCATATGAAAGGGCCCAGTGAAATAGGAGCACTCCTGGCCTTCAAAGGATTTGAACCAGCAACCTTCCAATTGCTAGTACCAAGCCCTAGCCTCAGAGCCACCACTCCATGCCAGGGTCAGCCCCTGCTGTGGTCCTACCATGTCCCTTCCCCGTTTGGCCAGCAGGCGTTGCTGGTCATCCCGTCCTTCATGTTAGTCTTTGTTCTCCTCTGTTACCTATCTGGTCATGTGGCTCTATGTGTTGAGCGTGTAGTTGTTTGTGTACCCTTCTGACCTGTGTTTGAATCCCGCCTCCCCTGTTTTTGTATTTTGGCTCCCTAGTGTTTCATTTGAGTTTCTTTAGTTCTTGTGTCTGATTTTGTAGTTGGTTTTGGATTTGTTCCTTGTGCCCCTGCTTGTGTCTTTACCTGTTTAAATTCCCTAGTGTTGGTTTCTGTTTCCCTGTTTCCTTGGTTAGTTCTTAGTTTCCCTGTTTTGTTCCTTTAAGTTTATTAGTTTCACCTGTGCCCTGTTTTCCTGGTCTGTTAATTAGTCTCACCTGTCCTGTGTTAGTCTTATTACCCAGTTTTGGTTTCTGTATTTAAGTCCCTGCTTCTGTTCTGTTCTCTAGTGGTTCGTTGTCTATAATATGTTCCGGTGTTAGAGCTGGTGTATGTTTACCTGCCCAGTTTGGTTTAATTGTATTTGTAGTGTTAGTTTATTCCCTTTGGTTTTTTTGACCCCTCGTGGTCCTTTTGGTTTTGTTGTGTTTTCTGTTTTATTTAATAAACCCCTTTTCTGTTCCTTGAGCCGCAAGTGGGTCGTCCGCCCTTTTTCGTGCACCATGCCTCGTTCCCGTGCCCGAGCCGCCCGGGTCCCTGACACTCCACCTATCACAGCTAACACACAATCCTTGGCATATGCAGGAAAACACAGAGACACTGATTTTCCTGGTCAGATATTTCTGGACAACAGGAATGCTGTACTCATAGAGGGAGTTCATCCCACAAACGTTGAAGAAGGGTGAGATCTGAAGCCTATCTGAAGTTGTCAGGTAGCCATAATACTCACTAGATCACCCATGCCTTCCTTTGTTCTATGTGTGTAGTCCACCTTGATGCCTTCTTGTAAATTTATAGCACCATCTCTCTACATATTACAGGCAGTCCCTATGTTAAGAACGTCCAGCTTATGAACAACTCATACTTAAGAACGGACTGCCATAAAGCCTATTAAAATTTGGTTTACATACAATGGTTTGTAATAACAAATGCATACACTACTTTGTTACACTCATGAAAACATTCCGTGGCTTCAGCAGTTCTTCGGCTCGAGGTACAGTAGATAGTTACTTTTATCATTACTGTATTATTATTATTACTACTACTGTGTTATTATTTTTTCTGACTTACCTACATATTCGACTTAAAGACAGACTTTGGGAACGGATCTCATTCGTAACCTGGGTACTGCCTGTATTGTATTATAGGTAGCCTAAATACTTTTAGCATTTGAATTTAGAATGCATGGAGACAGGTATTTTACACACCCAGAGCGCAGGGATTGGGGGAAACTGGGGGCGTGTAATTTGACTTCATGCACCCCTGCCCCAAGAAATAGACCTTTGCATTTAAATGATTAAGTTGTCCCCCCCCCGCTATCAAAGTCACTCCCATGCCCTTGTACTCAACAATTGTTTCTTCCATGAGAGCATTAAACATACTATACAACCCAGAAAATATTCATCTGAATAACTGATATATGTAGGATACTGAAACATGGCTTTACAATAATTTTTCAATAGGATATTTTTATCAAGCAACAGGACCATTACTACAACGCATGAAATTAATATAAAATACTGAAAGAAACACCAACCTTTCCTCATAAATGGAGAGATAGAGTGGTCAAAGATGGGCTTGGTGATAAAAGTATAGTTAGCCATTGGGTTGTCCTTCATGACCTTGAATGATGTGAGCTCCACAACACGCTTTATGACATCATCAGAACAAGACAGATCCAAGTACTTCATGATGCGTTCCACCTCACGGCGAGGATTCTGTAGAAATGACAGAGAATGGAAAGGACCTCTGATTGACAATGAATCATTGATAAGCAGGGGTAAAAGAAAACATGGGATGTACTTCGTAATTTGAAAATGATATGTTCATATGAATATTTTTTATTAAAAATGTTCTGCTAATACAAATTCAAAATTAGATATATAAGCCATCTATTTTGCAGCTACTTCTACAAAACCCTAATGATAAGTTGCAGCACATCTGTGGCTCTGGCCATGACCAAAACCAAATTTTTTCTATAGTTACTAAATTCCTATAATTAGTGATAGTTTTTAATCTCTGCTTAAAGAACAGTTCTCCACAGTTCAAGAGAACTCTCTGAATCTTGGTAGAAACTGGAAGTTGTGCTAGGCACCTCAACTGTCAATGAATGCTTTGCAATATTTGCATTCCGCAGTGTGCTTCTTTTTATTGGATGTTTTGCATAGAAGCTCCCGATGGTTTATGTACGGAAGCTGGATAATCGCAGACTTGGCTTATATGGGTGAATGCACAATGTTCCAAAAACACTGAAGTTAATAGAAGACTTTGGGTAGGTGCTAAAGCTACAAAGACTGGAGACTAATATCCATTACTTAGTCAGTTCTTCTCATGCATTTCACTCTTCCCAGTGACATTAGTCAGTGGCACCCTACCTCTTTCATGTCTTCATAAAATAAATAGAGTATATTTATCTTCTGTCTCTCTTCCCAGTAACCCTTCACATGATCATACCAGGAGCCCCAGGCCACTGTTATGAGTGGAAGGAAGGCAACAGCAGCATATTAGTAAAGCTTCAGTATAGTGCTGAAACTGAAAATGAACATTATACATCAGTTGTGACAATCTCCTTTTCCAGCTGTCATATTTACATTGCAGCAATAGGTCTGAATGAATCAAGCATTAAGGAAATTTCATAAATATTGTAGGGGGGGGTATTTCTTACATTGACTTCCCTGTAACAGTATTATTTTGTGATTAATAAAGATGAATCCTTTGCATATCCATTACATTGCTGTCTACTTGCAGGTCAGATGGATGTCCTTTATGATGACAATACACCACTCCATATGGCAAATGGTATCCACTGAGAGTTACATCAGTACACTTTGGGTCTGTGTAATTACTGTTTCTCATAATATGGTACCATATATTTACTTATCTCCTAAAGATTACCAACAATCTGTCCAGCTTCTGTCCAACTATCATGATAAGGGTATTGCACAAATTTGGTTTTCTGCCCACAATTCCACCTGCACATACATATCTTTAAAAAGAAACATTTCTCTTACACTCTCCCTTCATAAACTTGTGGATGTAGCCGTCCCAGGGACCTGGATCAGGGTGAGTAAGGTTCATCCTGTCAAAGTGGTAGTAGCTCACCAGGTTATCTTTAGCGTTTCGGGCCACATAAATCACCTAAATCACATCAATCGAATGGGAAAGTAGAGGCATTACAGGAGTGCTACATGTCATAGGGAATAATCAACTTTAGTCTCTTTCTACTACCTTGCATTTGTTTTTCCAAAATCCTTCCGGTACCAGTTGGATTGGGAGATGGGTCTTGATTACTCTAGGGGGATCCATTTTATTGAGGAGGTCCAGACCTGAGAGATGAATATACTCAAAAAAGGGTTTTGTCATATATATTGTTTTAAATGAGCATAGAACAGACTTACATTCAATAGACTAGTCACTAGCTCCACATATTACTGACACAGAAGCATAACGTGGTAACAGGCCGTAATATAAATAAAGCAAATACCAGAGGGAATTGGGGGTGGGGAGAAGATCTCAAGGAAGGGGTGCCGCAGAATGGTGGGGGCTCGCCGGCACGCCATTGCATCTCCGTTGTGAAGCAACAGGTCCACAATCTCCTGGGTCCATGTAATTCCTGATGTCATTAAAGATGGAAATCACTGAGTGAGTATCGGAAATGCACAGTAACCTCCAAGGCTATGTAAGACTGTACAATCCATGTTTAGCAACCTACTGGCTACATTTATGTCTTATTAATCCTGTCACATTGTAGGTCACTTTGACTGAGGTCAAACATTATGCTGTCATTATTTATTTTTACCTAAAGAACACCTCTCACTGGGTGGTTTAATTCTTGATTACATTCCCTTTCATTCCCTTCAGTTCAGATGCATTCCTGCCTTTTCATGAATTGTTGTCAAAATGCAATTTCTCCCCAGCCATTGTCTCTTCATTGTGTCTTACCAGCTTTGGGATAAGCAGCCATGAGAAGATCTGAGGGATCAGGGCAAAAGGTGCAGACCGATTCCCAATTTTGGACAATGGCTTCCATGAGCGGAACTCCCCTGACATTCTTCAGGGGGAAGCGACGGAAAGCATCTTTAGCGATTTTCATAGATTCTTCATACATCTGTTCCTCCATCACTATTAATTCAGAAAGATTTAAAGAGGATAGATAGGTCTTTAACATTCTTTCCACCTTACAACCTATGCTATTACATTTATCTAATTTGTGTTCTTTTCCAACAATGGAATATACTACACACAATGGCGACAATCTTTGAAACCTAGATAAAATGTGAAGAACTCCGTGTTCTGCCCACCAAACTATAGATATGAAGATTCTGCAGCTACTATTTGAAAACAAATGCAGTGTGACATCGCCCTCTATTGGTAACAATGAAAAAATGATCTTTCAGTTTAATAGTTGAGCAGCCTGGATAGCAGGGATCTTTGATTTTACAGGGAAAAACCAAGAAAATCCACAAACAATAACGTGTCTCGGGACCGTGTTATCAGCTGGAACATCACACCAACAATCCACTTAAGTGCTAACAACTAACGGTATATGTATAATATTTGGATATAGCAACAAACCGTGAGTTGAGAGCTTCTAAATCATCTTGGGTAAAAAAAAATCTTTTTAATGTTACTGTGCAAACTAGTTTAATATCAATGGCAGATTATTAGAGAAACAATTTCTAAAGTGAAATGTACAGGGCCGGTTCTGGGGTGGGATGCTGGTGTCTCCGTGACAACATGCATGACGCCCCTGTGGCCCCACTAAATACGTATGCTACTTGGGTCAGAAGTAAATGTATTATTATTATTATTATTATTATTATTATTATTATAATAATATGTGGGCTAAAATTTTGTACATTGGGAGAAAGTGAAACACAAACGTAAGCACATTTTCTTGATGGACTCAACGCAGGTGCGCCGGGTGGTCGAGTCGCTTCAGTTGGTGAAAACTGGTGAAAAGCAACGTTAAGGACAGGGAAAAAATAATAATCAAGCTTGTGGAAACAAGACAGTGAAGAAATCAGAGTGAGCTACATGTAGTGGGAACTGTGTATAGTGATCATCTGGATTAAATTGATCACTAAATGCGGAGGATTATTGTATCCAATTTTGTCCTTTTTCTTTGTCTCAAGCAGATTCACAGCTAACTCACATTTGTATATTTATTACATGAATGTAAAAGATAATAAAACGGACAGCGTCGCTATTTACTTAATTTTATTGACAATTTAAAAATAGAGAACAGCTGTTTCAAATGCTTTTCAATTTACAATACTGTACGAAATAAATGAGGAACTGTGCATAATTCGAATACCATATAATACAGTACAGTACTGTACACAATTTTCAATACAATTTATACAGTGCATTTTCACAATGCTACACTATCATAGCGCTTACTGTAGTTTCGCTGCTATAATTTCAGTGGCTCGTTTTTGGCGATTAGCTTTGGTGAGTCTATATTTGTCATTGAGAGAAAATGACTTTCTTTTTCCCCATCATGTTTTCTATGCATTCAGAATTAGCCTTAGGTAGCTAGGCAGAAGCAGACGGGTTACTACAAGGAAAAGTAGGGCGATCAAAGTCTCATGCTTAAAAAGACCCAAAACAAACACTCTAAGTGGACTACTTGATTACTATAAGCGAAATATTTAAACAGTATTTGTACAGCAATGATTCTGTCCCGAGCTTTTGATCCATGTAGCCTATTGTAAGTGGTTGATCACTATAACCGTGATGACTATATTGTATTACTGTATTGGTAAAACTGTAAAATGTAACTGCAAAGCATTGCATAACTAACATCTGTTTTCAAAATTGTCTTCTGCTTCTTAATGCTGGCGATCTAGTGTAAATAATTATTGGAGGACATGCATCGGGCCCACCTAACAACTGTAATTGGTAGCCTAATAAATGTGTATTAACTAAACAGCAACTCTGCACTGGATAAGCGGTCTGGAAATCTGATAAGATGGATGTATTGAATTTCATGTATACTAACTGTATTTCTACTGAAATAACCGACTAGTCTTCTTTGCAAATTCCCTTTCAGGTATTTAATGGATACTTATATTTCTCATTTAGCATACAGTATTATCTTTCATTCATTACATGAATTGCGATAGCTTTAAGGAGTACTACAGTAAATCAGGAAGAAAAAGTTATATGTCCATCTAAACTTTAGCAAACATTTTGATTACGTGATCATGTTGGAAAAGTAGTCGCCAATATCTTTATACCTACCGTTTTGTTTCTTCTTTCTCCTGGTCATTAACTTAGTTCACCGAAGCATTTATATGAGTGAGATACGTTTTTACAATAATCTTATAATCGCTCGAAGGCGATTGGCTCAGTTCTGAGTTTGCGAAGCATACGAACCAATCGGCGTTGAATCGGCTGACCTTAGCATTCGAGTTCATTCACCGTTTAGGGCACTGGTATCTTTATCACATAAAAGCAGCACGAGGAAGTCGGGTGAAGATGAACGACAAGACGCGAAACCAGTTTTACCAGAAAAAGTATGCGGTAACACGAGAACAAGATAATATTACCGACTTGAAATTACACTTAAGCAATCGCAGTACCAAAGTTAACTGCACAGACAAGTAATAGAGAACCACGAAGGTTTTGTTCAAGCTCATTAACAGAATAATTTAGCCGAATTAGTATCATATTGGTCACCATAAATACTTCAGTCAATATGTTATGTAGTTAATTACTCATATTTACTATTGATTCAATATAAAATTAACTTAATTTGTCAGTTGTGCTGTTTGAAGTTGGTGAATACATATGAGGAATATATTCACATGGCATAGTGGCTATATGAGAAAACCTCTTGAATCAGAATAATTACTATGAATGAGTGTTAGACATAAAATTAAATGTTTTAGTTTAATTTCTTTCAAACAAGATCAGTTTCAACAATTTCTGTCACAAGTGCTTGGTTTAAAAAAAAAAAAAAAAAAACCCCCAACACCACACACAACAATGCCTTTCACAATAAGACTCCAAAACAGAGTACCCCAAACTGGGCCATCCATCCATAATGTCAGGTCTTTTGCCCACTGGCCCCCGAGACCTTAAAGCAGCTCACTGCAGGAAACAGGTAACCAAACAGGCTGCTGACTGGATGGACTAACCCAGGACTCAAAAGGCAGATTCAGGCACAGAAGACTGGAAAAACAGGAAACAGGCCAGAGGAAACCGGAAATGGGTCTTAAACACAAAACCAAGATAACGACTGTTATGGTGGGGCATGGCACAGACAGGAATGAAGGTGCCGATCCACTTAGCCTCTCTAAGACAATAAGGGGTTTATTAAAGAAACAAGACATTACCGAAAACCAAGGGGACATCACTTACAACATGCAGGGACACACCACACTCAATGACTTACTAAAGGATAGAGAAGGCACGGGCACTTAAATAGAAACAGGTAACCAACTAATGAGAGGGCAGGTGTGGAACATGATAATTAATCAATTAACAGAGACAGAGAAACAAGCAACAGGTGGGGTGAGTTACAACAATAAGCACAGAACTAGGGATTTCTAACAAACACTGAAATTCTGAAACACAAACCACAATGGGAATTACTACACTAGGATAATTTACAGAACCAAATAATACAAACAAGAACAGGAAAACAGCAGGGCAACCTATAACTGGGAAAACAGAAAAGAAAAAACCAATAAACAGATGAGGCTGGTCTGAAGCCACCCTTGAACCCACAGCCAGAGAGTTCAGAGTCTCTAAGCCACACACTGAACCTACTGGGCTATGCAGCAGTTTGGGAAACGAGTACAACACACTAGAAAATAGACACACTGGGGCTGAAAGGCAAGAGAAAAGGAGGAGGACAGGATGGCCAGCAACACCTGCTGGTCAAACAGGGAGGAGACACAAAGGGCAGGGTGGGATGGGTGCTGACTAACGTACAACAAACCTACAAACAAAATTCCAGTTGCCTGGCACACCAGCTGTGGTATTCCAGCTAATCCAGACCATGAAATAAACACCAGCTAAGACCAGCAAACTCAATACAAGATGTTGCCCATCCAGAACCATGGACTCAGTTATGAGATTCTGGCACCCAGAACTACAATTCTGACCAAAGCTCAGGAGTAAAACACAAACAAACAAAACCATAGCTCCATGAATGAGACTTTAAACTAATCAAAGTTCTTATCTCTACACACTAAGAGCAATGATGACGACTGAGCAGTGACTAGCACTCACTGCTCTGTTTGAATAAGAGTTAGAGCCAGTCACCACTGGCACACAGCAAGAACAAACAGACCAGACTCACATACCTGACTACAAATGGAAGACAGATGTGACAGTATTGTTTTGAACATAGATCAAAATCCAGTGTCTTCTTGACTTACTACCCACTTCACCCATCTTCACTCCCTTTATCTTCTCTGGAAAACAAGGAATATAAGGAAATTCTCCACCCCTGAGCTAAATGTTCATCCTGAAAGGAATGTTTGTGCCTTTCATTTGTCTTTCATAATCTTCTTCAAATAACTGCAGCTGCTCTGAGGAGAAATGATTGGCCCAGTCACCCACTTCACCTGCAGAAAAGAAGAGTGTTATAGTGTTAGTGCAAAATATGCACTGGCACTCATTTGTAACAAACCTCAAATGCATGTAAAAAGGAAACAACTGGAAAAAAGAAAAGGATGGTATCCTAATATGGAATAATATGTAACTATCTGAACAAACTACAGTGGTACCTGTACCCATGAGCATCTGAGGCCACGAGTAACTTGAGTCACAAGCTTTTTCATTTAATAAAATCTCGCTGTACCCACGAGCAATGTTTGGAGCCACGAGCAGTACCGTGAGCCTGCCCACCTCCTTATCTCTATATGCATTTCTGCATTTTTATTAGTAACACAATTTACTGTAATATTTAGGCTTGTTTTTCAATGTTTTATTGTTAGCAACAATGTTTTATGCTCGCTGTAGGCTATGCCGAGCAGCCTAGCTTAGCCTATGTGACTTGGTCTATTTCATGTATGGCCATAGCGCAGTTTTTTATGCATTTAAAGATGGAAGTGTGTCTAATATGCCGAACAATATGATATTCTCAATCAGTACTACTTATACTGTCACTAAAAGCTCAACTATTGTGCCTATAAATATTTTGTATGGGGGTATTTTGGGGCCGGAAAACCAATTAATCCCTTTCCCATTATTCCTTATGGGAAAAATTGTTTGTACCCACGAGAAATTGTAATCACGAGCTGTGTCTTCAAACCAATTACACTCATGGGTACAGGTATGAAATAGTTTCAATATACACATGCAATATAACATTTTTCAGCAAACCTGAATTACCTATTCATTAATTCACTATACTGCTTGTCTGCTTCTTGGTAACAAGGGTCTAGAGCTTATCCCAGAAGCAAAAGACGCAAGGCAGGAAATAAACCAGGATGGAGTGCCTTTAAATAAATAATTAAAGATCTTTTCCAAAAGGAAGACAAACCTTTTCTCATGAAAGGTGAAACAGAGTGGTCAAAGATCTCCTCCGGCAGAAAAGTATAGTTAGTCATTGGGTTGTCCTTCATGGCCTTGAATGATGTGAGCTCCACAATGCTCCCTATGACATCATCAGAAAGCGACAGATCCAAGAACTTCATGATGCGTTCCACCTCATGGCGAGGATTCTGCAGAAGTGACAAAAAGAAGGGGAGCTTCAAGTTTCAAATTGTATTTATCACAGACACAATCGTACGCTGTGCCACTATACTGTGAAATACCAGAATACCACTGAGTGATCATGAAAGCACATATGTGGCAATGCAAGAGAAAATGATTTATTTAAAATTTGAAAAAAGTGATTCATGCTATATGTGGATGCACTGTTTTAAATGAATCCTTCATGAATGCTTCTGAATCATTACCTAATTTCTTGCATTTGATGAGGATGACTTACACACAGACATATGCAAACACATACAGACACACATGCATACAAACACACAGAGATGTAGAGACACACACAGATGCACACACACTTATGCAGTTTTATGTTTCTGCAATACAAAAATGCATGCAGAAGTAAATGAACCATTTATTTTAATAAGCTGTCTCATATCTCTTTAGTATCAGAAGATAAAGAACCATGGGAATTAAGGGCTGTACAGAGGAACAAGATAAGCTGAAAAATAAAATTGGTATTGATTCATTTACTGCGCAAGGCTACAATAGATCATGCAGTGTTTTAATGATGTGGGGTATGACATCCTACCTCTTTCATGTCTTCGTAAAACAGATATAAAATGTTCCTATTTTCTCTCTCTTCCCAGTAGCCCTTCACATGGTCATACCAGGAGCCCCAGGCCACTGTTGGTGAATATGGCGAGAATCACATTCTGCTTAAGATATAAAGTAAGACACCTGCTAGTGATGTATTTATTACTTTAAAGGGGCAATTCTATGATTGTTTACAGTCAGGGGCTAAGAAGGGCCATATTTCAAACAGAGGGGCAAAACATATCATTAGCCAATGATAGGTTTTGAATGGGTGAGTGACAGGGAAGGGGGCGCTCTGGGAGCCAATCAGCTTTCAGCTAGGGCTAGCACCCCTGTGACCATACCCAAGTACATGAACCTAATTATTTTCTATATAATTTTGCAACCAATATGAATATGACCTATGCCAGGGCTCTTCAAATCTGGACCTTGAGTCCAGATCCAGGCTTTGTTTTCAGATCTCCCAGGTAGTTAGTTTAATAATAACTGGTTCTGATTCACCACAAAGGCCTCACACCTGGCTCACAAGTAAAGGAAGGCTGGAAAACCAGAAGTGCTGGGCCGTTGAGGATCATGATTTGAATAGCCCTGACTTACGCAGTATGGGCATTTGGGGTATATTTTCAGTACCAGTTTCACAATTTCTTTTACAGGATAGTGTTCTTAAGAAGAAACATCACTCTTACACTCTCCCTTCATAAACTTGTGGATGTAGCCATCCCAGGGACCTGGATCAGGTTGGGTATGGTTCATCCTGTCAAAGTGGTAGTAGCTCACCAGGTTATCTTTAGCATTTCGGGCCACATAAATCACCTACGGTTTAAATGAAAAATCCAGAAAGTTATTTTTTCATTATCAGCATTGCAAGTGTGATAGGTTACAGAACACTACTACTGTCTCACTCCTACCTTGCATTTGTTTTTCCAAAATCCTTCAGGTACCAGCTGGATTGGGAGATGGGTCTTGATTACTCTAGGAGGATTCATTTTATTGAGGAGATCCAGACCTGAATCAGAAAGAATAGTTCAACCCCAGCTTAATACCTTCATGAATAGAACATTTCAGTGGAGATTTGTGTTTGCACATAGACTGGAACACCTACTGCACAAAATTTTGAATCTTTTTATAGAGCAGCAGGGTCATAATAAACTATAATTTTAGTAGATTAGATTTTTAAATATTTTCTTTGCAGAAAAGAAGATATGAAAATATCAGATCTAAGGGTGGCATCCCATCTAGGCTGTATGCCTCTCTTGTGCCCTCTGATGCCTAGGATAGGATCCAGGTAAGGTAACTATTAAATGCAACTATGGGTTCCATAATCCAAAATTGACATAGTAATAATATACAGTATATATACTGTATAGACAAAAGTTTTGGGACACACCTCTTAATCATTGAATTCAGGTGTTTCATTCAGATCTATTGCCATAGGTGCATAAAATCATGCATGTAGCCATTCAATTAGGTTTACAAACATTTGTGAGAGAATGGGTCATTCTGAAGAACTCAGTGCATGGTACTTTCATAGGATGCCACCTTTGCAATAATTCAGTTCCTGAAATTTCTTCCCTGCTAGATATTCCACGGTCAACTGTAAGTGGTGTTATTGCAAAGTGGAAGCATTTAGTAACAACAGAAACTCAGCCACTCTGGCATTAACCCCAGCACAAAAACTGTGCACTGTCCGATGTCCCAGCAGTTGCACACAAATATTACCAAGCGCAATGCCAAGCCTCGGGTAGAGTGGTGTAAAGCACACCACCATTGGACTTTGGAGCAGTGGAAATGTGTTCTGTGGAGTGACAAATCACGCTTTTCTGTCTGGCAGTCTGATGGACAAGTCTGGGTTTAGCAGATGCCAGGAGAATGTTACCTGCCTGACTGCAATGTGCCAACCGTAAAGTTTGATGGAGGAGGAATAATGGTACAGGGTTGTTTTTCAAATGCACTGGATGATTGAGCAAAAATTCTCACAGACACACTCCAAATTCTTGTGGAAAGCCTTCCCAGAAGAGTGGCAGCTATTATAGTCACAAAGGGGAGATCAACTCCATATCAAAGCCTCTACATTTAGAATAGGATGTTACAAAAATTTGTGTAGGTATAATGGTTAGATGTAGAGATGAAGCTTAGGAGAGAAATACCAGAGGGGATTGGGGGTGGGGAGATGATCTCAAGGAAGGGTATCCGCACAGCCACAGTTGCTCTTTTGCAAGCTTCAGCATCTCCATTATGCAGCAACAGGTCCACTATCTCCTGAGTCCATGTCGTTCCTAAAGGAATATAAGGAGGAAGGAATATAAAATAGGAATGTTGATTTAATTAACTTACTGCAAAGTTCCATCATTATCCAGCTACAGTGATTAAGTTTGATTTTAAGGAATAAAATCACCCTTTTTCTTTCTTTGTTTGATGAGGTCACGGTAGTGTTCACACAAATATTAGGCAAAAAGATCTTAGAAACCACAAGCATCTACAGTCTCACTGCACACTGCTCTTTGAGAGAAAAGAGTGACGATCCACAGAGCGGCCCCAATGAAAAGGGGTTTATTAAGAAAACAGGGCATCACTCAGCTCACCTGGGATCTGTCAGCCATGACCCTGATCTACCAGCCTGTAGAGGTGAGCTTACTCGTAGAGAAGATAAGACAGGAGGTCCTCCTGTGACAAGAGACGGACCGGCCCTCCGAACCACTACCAGAGGAGAAAAAATCTGCTCCCGTCTCTTCTTCTCTTTTCCTCAAAGGAGGCAGAAAAAGAGACAAACACCAACACCAACTGGTCCAGGTGAGAGTCCCGCCATGATTTCACTGCCCTGCCCAGGAGGAATTGACACTGCGCCTCTGGTTACCTACACCATCTACCCGGTTATCTAGCCTGCCATGTCTCCAGTTTTCTGCCCAGGTAAAGCTGCCACGGCCATGCCAGACCTATGAGAGACTGTTGCCCTGCCCAGCCCCGGAGAAGATGCTCTGCAAGTGCCTGGCCCAGGAGAAACCTCCGCCGCTCTGCAAGCACCCGGCCCTGGTGAGGCCTCCGCTGCTCCACTAGCTTCCAACCCAGGAGAGGCCACTGCTGCACCCTGCCCAGGAGAGGCCACTGCCATGCCCAGTTCAGGTGCCCCGGTTCTGTCCTGCCCTCTGGATGGCTCAACTGCAACCTCACTGTGCTTTGCTCGAGGTCCCTGTTGTGCCATACTCCCTGTCCAAGGTCCCAACTGTGCCTTGCTCACTGCCCAAGATTCTGGTTGTGCTGTGCCCACCTCCAGAGGATCCCACCATGCTGCTGCCTTGTCACAATCCAGGCGTTCACCCTTCCCTTTCCAGATAGGGACAACAAATCCTATTTACCAGTCAGCTAGGATGACACCTGTCTCCCAAATGTAGACAGTGCAACAATTACTTGCAATACCAGGACAGCCTTACCATCCACCTGGAGAAGTTCACCCTGGATACCATAGATCCCTGTGGCCTTCCCTACCCCCCGAGCTGGTTCACTGCCCATGCAATCAAGGAAATTTGGTAGTTCCCAGCTAATTGGAGGATGAGGTTCATGAATCATGGACTCAAAGACATGCAACATCCTAGCCGGAGGATCAGCTTCAAACAGCGGCTCAAAGTAGCTGGCCCAGTGGGTCACAACTGCAGTGTTATCCACAAGGACCGTTTCATCACCTGCCCTAACTGCGACTTTCTGAGGAAGAGATTCAGATATGCGTTTTTCTATAAGCAGGACGTGTGACACTAGACCATGGATGGTGTGTTACTTGCTCACAGATTCCACTAACAAATGTCTCCTTATTTACCCTCAGAACCCTTGCAGCCATCCTTCTCTGTTCTTGGTACAGACCAGAGCTGCCATGAAGCTGTAAGCTGCAACTCCTTTCAATTTCCAGCGTGCCCTGCAAGATGAAGTGCCTCCTTCTGGAACGACCAGCGACACTAACACAACCTTCAGCAACCTTCAGGGTATTATCATGGAGGTCTCCCACATCACATCAGGATCACCAGTCCCACCTAAGTCTGCAAATTCCTCACACAAATTGCATGGAAACTCATTAGAAACAGCCTGATCTTGGAGTCTGGCCAGGTCCAGCCTCAATCTCCTAGTAGGTGGTAACCTACTGGATCTAAGCTGAATCTTCAGCGTAGAAACAAGTATGTAGTCAGAATTCACTATGGTCACCAGACATTTGGGGAATGACATGATCCTCATAGGCAGCCCTGTCAGTGCCAGTAGTCACACTGAAGTGGCCCATGACCAGAGGAGTGTCACCTCGTGGGTACCCATCAACCATCGAGCAAAGTTGTGAATAAAATGTTTCCCTCATTGCTATCGGCGCATACACTGACACAATAGACAAGACACCCACAGAGTGCCTTAATCTGAGTCTCATAATAAGGTAATTGAAAAGAGTGACATCAGACACCATAGGCAGGAGTTGATCCACCACAACAACAGCTACTCCCTGAGAATGGCGGCCATTAGAGAGACCAGACCAATAATAGGTGTACCCATCTATAGAGATCTGGCCACTCTCCGGTCTGCGTACCGCAGGGAGTACCGCCACTGAACTTCAGAGTTTATAAAGCTTCTTTGACAGCAGGGTGCAGACAGTCATCATGCTGGAGAGACAAGGCATCCCACACACCTACTTTCCTATTAGGACCAGTGAGCTGCCATGCAGCAGGTGACGCCTCAATAAAGTAATAAAGTAATTTAAAAAAAAAGCATAAAATGTTTGAAAAAAGAATAACAAGCAGGAGGAAACATGCTGAGAACAGCTATTAGCCAGACACTGGCTCTGCTTGTTTAAAGCAGTGGGCACCTAAACCAAGTAAACCTCTCTGTCCAAAGCAAAGTGCAGTTTAATCATTGCACAACAAACAATTTAGCTACTCAAGTGAGACTCTAAAATGAATATAAATTCTCTGAATTTCAGTGCCTGACAAGGAAGGAAATTAATGTAAATAACCAGGATTCTCCACTTAGAGAACTGAATTTTCCAACAGCACTGCAGATTTCTTATAAACCAGCTTTTTAGTAACTGGTTCCCAATTTTCAAAAGCAATCTGTATGTATTCTTATATAATCAATGGTGCTTGGGCAATCACAATGAATATTGGATATGAAGGAAAAACATTTCACACCACTAACTTACAGGTTGTTTTGATTTTCAGTCTATTTCTGATTTCCCTCCTTTTAGATGAACCACAATTGCATTAATCCATCCCACCCCACCCCCTTTTCTCTGTCTCACCTGCTTTGGGGTATGTAGAGATGAGAAGATCAGAGGGGTCAGGACAGAAGGACCAGATTGATTCCCAACTCTGAGCAATGGGCTCCATTAATGGGATGCCCCTGACGCTCCTCAGGGGGAAGCGGCAGAGTGTTTTGCTGGCTCTCCTGATGGACTCCTCGTATGTCAGCTCCTCCATTGCAGTTACGATCACAAGCTCTGGCTGGGAATCGATGTCTTCTGTCCTTTCTGTTCGTGATTATTAGGTACTGGGTTGCCTTCTTATCCTCAGTCTGTGCAACTCCAGTTTACTTCTTCCCTTTAAGGGATGTTGTGCAACTTCTGGGATCTTGTGCAACTTCTTGATTCAGTTCCAACTGCTTGCTTAATAATTTGTGGAAAAGGTAAGGGAGCGTCTGGATTTTTTACATCATAACAAATGAAGAAGAAAAATCATAGTTAAATCACTGAACTTGGCAAACTGAGTATTTGCAGACATTCCCTAGGGGCTTGACTTTGCCTTTACGTTCTCTAGATGCCACGAGGAACTTATTTTTACAGGTGAAGGACATTGGAATGCAGAAACAGTTATCGTGTTTCTGATTTTCTGAAAATAATATTCATGCATATCCACATTCCTAAACTTCTAGCTGCAGATACAAATACACTGAACTGCACAGATGTAATTCATGCTGCGCTCACCAAAAAAAAAAAACAATAAAAAGGAGAGAGATTTTAATGTAACATGCTAGCAAAAGTTTTTGTATTATAAAAAAGTTGATATGCTATTCTCTCTCTCTCTCTCTCTCTCTCTCTCTCTCTCTATATATATATATATATATATATATATATATATATATATTCTCTGTTTTAAATATATTGACTACAATAGTGGCCAACATTGTGGAAACACTTAGCATTTATGGCATTATGCTTTAAAAATTACTGCATGAATTATATCAATAATGTTTATAAACAGTCAAAGAATGTTTACAAATATCATGCATTGGACTATTAAATAATTAACTGGAGTAATTAAAATAAAGTTCTGCAATCTCTAAACACTGGAAGTGTTTCCACAATTTTGGCCACTAGTGTAGATGTCCAGGTATTTATATTAAATTACTATTATATATTTAAACATCTATGCCTGGGTCACATTATAAGAGCTGTTAGCCACACTGAGCCCTGGGTAAACATGCCGACACACAAAATCTTGATGGATTTTGATCTGTTGTAAAAGTATAACATTGGAGGGGGGGGGGGCGGTATATCTTGCTTCTTGTGCTTGTATCCTGGTTGCCTTCCTTGTCCTCAGCCGGGGGGGGGGGGTCCCTTTTACCCTTTTTAAAGTGCCTCCAATCACATTTCATGTATTGACATTTATTATTGGAGTTATTACTGGCTTTCTTAAATTAAAGAAAGGAATGTGGATGTGAACTAACACTTGACCAATAAAGGTACCTAGTTCTCCCTGTTTTTCTGGTACTGGTGATGTCGACCTACTAGTACCAATAAAATGAAAATGTAACAACATGGACAACAAAGTATTCCAATATTTTTTTAGCATATCACTGCACAAAAATGCATATGTGTGTTGTTATGTTTAGGTATAATCTACAAACAAAGGTTAGGGTCTGGTTTCCTTGTGAAATTATATAATCACAACTGTGTAATTTTAGCATGTGCACCAGTTTACAGATCTACACTTCACTTATTTGGCCAGTTAGCCTTTTCAACATCAGTGGCCTGTACTAGGAAGTGGGGTTACTGGCTTATTGGGGTATCTTGTCGCATTTAAGGTACCACAGTTTAGATGGACTTAATATTCGTTTACTTACATTTTGCCCAGACTACCTTAAATCCTACAAGTTACCCCAATAAACCGGTAACCCCGCTTCGTAGTACAGGCCACAGGTAAGAAATATACATTCACATAAGCACTGGCATACTTCATAATTAATTTCTTTATGACCAGTTATATTAAAAAGGCATCTGTACAAAATGTGTTTGCAAAGTTTCTTGGCCTTTATTGACTCGCAACTATCCAAAAGCTATTTGAAATGCTTTGCCCCTGAGCTAAAATAGTGGGTGCTTCTAGGGGTGGTAGGAAAGCCTTGGTGGCTTGGTGCACAGATCCACATGATATAAGCGTTTATTTGAGGGATTTCCGGTTCAAAGGGGTGGGGGGTATGAAGCAAACAGGAAAAGGGAAATCCTGTGTACTAAACAAATATAACATTGCTGGGTTATGCAGGGACAAAAAAGACTGTACATTGACCACAGAAACAAGTAATACTCTGAAAGTTTATGTGTGAGAAAAATCTTATTTGTACATAATTGATATTTTTATTATGCCTCATCCCATCCAGGGTGCACCTCAGCTATTAAAGAGGAATTGTGGACTGTAGTTGCTGCCAAACCAAAAGCAAAAGATGCTAAGATGCAGGGATGCCAGTAGAGGGCAAAACTGTGAACGACAATGGCCCCCTATCTGTCTAAAACGACGATGGCCCCCTATCTGTCTAAAATGATGATGGCCCCCTATCTGTCTCAAACGACAATGGCCCCTTATCTGTCTCAACGACAATGGCCCCCTATCTGTCTCAAATGACGATGGTCCCCTATCTGTCTCAAACGACGATGGCCCCCTATCTGTCTAAAACAACGATGGCCCCGCTATCTGTCTCAAATGACGATGGCCCCCTATCTGTCTCAAATGACAATGGCCCCCTGTCTCCAATGACAATGGTCCCCTAGCTGTCTCATACAACAATGGCCCCCTATCTGTCTCAAACGACAATGGCCCCCTATCTGTCTCAAACGACGATGGCCCCCTATCTGTCTAAAACAACGATGGCCCCGCTATCTGTCTCAAATGACGATGGCCCCCTATCTGTCTCAAATGACAATGGCCCCCTGTCTCCAATGACAATGGTCCCCTAGCTGTCTCATACAACAATGGCCCCCTATCTGTCTCAAACGACAATGGCCCCCTATCTGTCTTATACGACGATGGCGCTCTATCTGTCTAAAATGACGATGGCCCCCTATCTGTCTCAAATGACAATGGCCCCCTATCTGTCTCAAATGACAATGGTCCCCTAGCTGTCTCATACGACAATGGCCCCCTATCTATCTCAAACGACAATGGCCCCCTATCTGTCTTATACGACGATGGCTCACTATCTGTCTCAAATGACGATGGCCCCCTATCTGTCTCAAACGACAATGGCCCCCTATCTGTCTCAAACGACGATGGCCCCCTATCTGTCTAAAACGACGATGGCCCCCTATCTGTCTAAAACGACGATGGCCCCCTATCTGTCTAAAACGACGATGGCCCCCTATCTGTCTCAAACGACGATGGCACTGAAGTCTATGAAAAGATCATGCAAGGCAAATACCTTATTGTTAAACGGGATCTCCCATGCACTGCTGTGTCTCCAGTGTGCAGGTACACAACCAGGTATTAGATCAGGAATTATATTAAGGATTAAATTAAGAATGGATTTATTCACAATCAGAATTTAATGATCGGCAGGAATTAAACAATGTTTTAAAACAATGTTTGTTTAAATGTATTACTGCTTGCCATTCTTCCAGTTATCTTCTATTAAATGTCCTTTAAGAGTTCACCTTCTGTCAGAAAATATCTGAAAGGCCATGATTCCATCTATTCTCCCCCTTTGCTTTTGTTCTGTCTCACCAGCTGTGAGGTATGCAGAGATATAAAGATCAAAGGGGTCAAGCCAGATGTCACAGACAGATTCCCAGTGCTGGGCGCCAGACACTACCAATGGCACAGCCCTGCAGGTTTACTGGGGGGAAGTGACAGAGAGAATCACTTGCCCTCTTGAGAGACTTCTCAAATGATACCTCCTCCACAAGACCGCTGATCATGCTGCTTATCTGAACTTTGTTTAGTTAGCTTCTTTTTAGTTTTTGCATATAGAGGTTCTATGGACTTTTAACTGTTATGTAAAATATGTTTAACTGTAATGTAATTCATGGCACTTCCAGTTTGTAACCTCTGACAGAGAAGGAAGAATCAAGGAATATTCCAGTGCTCATCTAAACCAACATAGGAAAAAAACACATAAAGTTATTTAACAGAAACAGAAGTACATAAAGCATGTATATGCACTTTAAGTTCAAGGTTTTATTTTGAAATGATATCTATTAGTGATCATGGGGTGAAGATTAATAAGAATAATATTTTAGTCTTAGTATTATTATTTCAAAGGGATTTTTCTCAATCACGTTTACTTAATGCATATTACAGTCTAACTTCTGTTGGGATCCTCAACATTTTCAAAACAATACAATTTCTTCTGTTTAAAATGCCCAAAGGTATTAATTTCTTGAACTTCAGCATGGATTAAACTCATAGTATATATATGATTAATTTGCAAAAAATCTGTTAAGGTTCATTAAACTAGATTCTTATTTAATTCTGTGATTCTGTGTTGGGGTGTGGGGGTGGCCATGGACCTACATGGGAGGGTAGAGAATAAGGAGGCACAGTTCTTCCTGTTTATTCAACCCATTTGTTACTCATTCTGACAAAATCTCATAAAAACATTCTGCCCCAGTATTTCTGCTGTTCCAGCTGCACAGCTTCTCACACTCAAACAATGTGCATGTATGTTACATTATGCAACTGCCTAAAAAAGTACCTGTTTACATACCAATTCAGAGCAGAGGTGCCTTCTGTTCACTGAAGCTGTGCCAGTAACTTAGAGAGTATTAATTCCTTCTTCGCTTACATTTTTTTTCAAGATTTGAACCCATCATGTAATCCAGTAAATAAATCCAGCAAAAAATATTTAAAATGATAATAATAATTCAAATTTATTGAGCAGTCCATTGAACACATAAAGGTAGTTTAGGGTGCCTGTAAGCAAAAGCTTGTTACATCATTAAGTCTAAAAAAATATGTGTGATATTAGCAGCACAGAAACGTGGAGGACTATATTTGTTGAAATATAAAGGTCTATTTCTCTTCACAGTGGACATTCTGCTTCATTGCCTGGTGGCTACTGCTGTCTAACAGGAATACTCTGCTTCCTGAAGTGACAGCAATTAACCCTGTGCACTTTCCTCTTGGGCTGATGGAAGAACTGAATATGGCCGACGGCAGACCAAGCACCCTGGACACAGACTAAACAACAACGCGAGGAAGAGGCAAATGTTAACAAGTGACTTTGAGACACTTTGAAAATGGACAGTGGCTGCCATCGGTATACTGACCGTCAATGTGCGCCGATCGATGAGTCTCAACATGTTTGGTTGGCTACCACCTGCCACAATGTAATCCTGTCCCAGCCAATCACAGGTGTAGACCTGACAAGGAACAGAATTCATTGGCTATAAGCAGTACTAATCATAATAGCACATATTCAAGGAGAGTTTGATATTGCAAGGGACACATCTGAATAATTTAAATATACACAACCCACACTTCCTCTGGTTGTTATGCCTCTGCACATACAGGAAAACCTCGGATTACGAACATAATTCCTTCTGGAAACATGCTCGTAATCCAAAGCGCTCGTATAACAAAGCAAATTTTCCCATTAGAAATAATGAAAACTCAGATAATTCGTTCCACAACCCAAAAATATTAATAAATAATACAATTCATAAATGATACAATTCTTTACACCACTGCTTTGTCAATACGAGAAACAATCGATTCATTAGAGTCTGATTTTAATTTATTACAGATGTCTCTTATCAAGTTAAAACTGGTGTTAAATGCCAAGAAAACTAAATGTATGGTATTTACACATTCATGTTCTCCCCTTGATTATTCTGTTTTAACACTAGATGGCACTCATCTAGAGAGGGTGTCTTCTTACAAATACCTTGGTATCTGGCTTGACAACAAGTTATCTTTTGGAGTCCATATAAACAGCTTGTTAAAAAAACTTCGCCCAGAACTAGGCTTCTATTTCCATTTAAAGAAATGTTTTCCCTTCATTGCTAGAAAAAGACTAGTACAGAGAACCTTCCTATCAGTATTACTGTCACGCGTTGGAGAACATGGACCATGGAAACAGGCGGACGAAATCAGGAACAGGGTTAAATAAAAGGATTTAATGGGAGAACGAAGGGGCATAAGGAGAAAATAACAAAACGGAGCTACAAGACGATATAACCATGCATAACACTACAGCACGACACTACAATGACAGAACTAGGGAAACAAACTCTGACGTGGACTTAAATACATTGAACTAATACAGACAATTGAAAACAGCTGTGAAACACTGGGAATCGACATGAGGTTAACGAGGGGGCGTGGCACAGGAGGATCAGCACGATCGGGGTGTGACAATTACATTATGGTGATGTAAAATACATATGCACCTTCATCTTAAAGAAACTAGATGTTATTTATCATACAGCATTGAGGTTTATAACTGGTGCCACAGCAAGAACTCATCACTGTAAGCTATATGAGATGGTGGAGTGGACATCATTACATCTTAGAAGGAAAATACATTGCCTGGTTTTTATTACAAAGGCTTAAATGAGCAAAGTACCTCAGTATTTATGTAGTTTGCTGATGTTCCGCTCTAATACATATAGTACCCGTTCATCAGTTAAACTTCTCCTTCAGTCTCCCACCGCATGTACAGAACTGAGGAAATCGGCCTTTAGTTGTTATGCACCACATGAGTGGAACAAAATATACTGAATTTAAAGTCCTTGCCTTCTCTGAATGTGTTTAAAAATCTCTTAAACTTTGAACAGTGCCATTGTTTTGTATAAATTAATTTTATTCTATGTATAATTTGAGTATTTGTGTTTTAGTCTGTGTTCATATTAATCATCTCTGTATGTATGTATATGAAACTTTTGTCTTTTTTCTTATTTGCTGCCATCTTGGCCAGGACTTCCTGGAAGAAGAGATATTGTATCTCAGTGGAACCTTCCTGGTGAAAAAAAGGATAAATAAAATAAAATTAAAATAAAAATTAATACAAAATATAAAGTAAAAATACATAAAACAAATTAACCTGCACTTTACCTTTGAAAAGAATTGTGGATGGTGTGAGAGACGAGAGAGAGGAGGAGGGTTATTTTGTAGGACGACTTTCACTATAACTAACGGAATAACTGCTATCTGTTGGCTCACTGGAATCTTTTTCTTTTCGTGTAACTTTAACAAGGAATCTATCCAATGACAGCCGCTTTTGCCTCCTTTTTGATTTTGCAGAAATGTGGACATTGTATTGTCGTTAAACAGATTCATTGCTCGCACTGCTACACCCTTATTCAGGTGGTGCTTTTCTACTAAATTTTGACTATACGAGTGAGGCACCCCGACTAAGACCGAGCATGGGAAACGATTACCCACAATCCTGCAGCGAGAGACAGAGAAGAACCATTGGCTCAGTTTTGATTACGTGACGCTCGGCAGACAAAGCGTATAAATAATACTCATATTGCAAGACCTCGCTCATTTATCAAGTTAAAATTTTGCTCGTCTTACAAAACAATCGCAAACCAAGTTACTTGCAATCCAAGGTTTGACTGTAGTTTCCATGATGTTGAAACAATTCATGATAAGCACTGCTTAAAATCAGTTAGTAATACAAAGGGGTATAACTTAAGAGTTGTGGTACTCGTCGAATGGACTAGTTTGTTAAAAACTGTAGTCCGACATGCAATATTTTTTAACTAGCTACCAGGCTAGTGTTCATTTGATTGTGCTCACCCTTCATCTAAATAACTCGCCTCAGGCGAATTGGTGAGTTTACCTTCCAATAACATGTCTTTTTTAGGCCATTACTGTACACAAAAAAACTGTTATTCGAGAATGCCTTAAAAATTGGCTACATCATTTAATAGCCATACAACTGAATGAAAAGGAAAAAAATGGTTTGTACCATTATGTCCTGTGACCTTCTATCTGGCATCGTTATTGATTTTTGTGCCAAACCCTACAAAAACCAGCCTTACTTTACAAAATGAGTGTGGGGTAACAAGGATTTCGCCAGAGAAGCTCAAGTCAGCCAAACCAGCTGCACATGTTGAATTGGAGCTGACTGAGTACAACATGAAGCCTTATTGTGAGCATCAAGAATAAATTGTCATTTAGAGTTGACTGTACTTATAACATAATGATTAAGAGAAAATGTCACTTGAAGATCTTTGTGATCAAAGCTAAATCCACAGATGTATAACCAATTATACGTGATTACATAAATATGTTTAACATTGGCCAGATGCGATAAGATTAAAAATAACACAAATACTGACAAAATATGACATGGGTGCATTTGTCTCTGAGGACACCGAGATTGATGTGCACCACAAACAGAGATGCAGTTCACTTGCAAGGTATTCGGATCAGTCTCTGTCCATCCTGTCCTTTTATGTGTTTAGTATCTTCCAGTCCCAAATGTTTCCCCTGCATCCTGGGCCACTGCATGGCTGAATGGGCTGAGCATGCAGCTGAGAACCACATATTCCTACCATCATAGGTTCTCAATTATATTGATTTTTTTGTATTTTCTTCTCCCGAATTCAGTTTGGTATACTCCTGTGTCAGTTACCGGTATGTCTCGTGTTTGTTTATCTGTACTGGATCTGGTTTTGTGCCTTTGTTCTTAGTGGTCTCTGTTTGTATTTATTTCTGAAGTGAAGCTTTGTAATCCTTCTTACGTGTACCTGGTAGTGTTTCATTAATTGTAAATGACCCTCACCTGTCCCATGTTGGAACCTCATCATGTGTATAACCGCCTGCCCATGCGCTGTTCCTTTGTTGGACATTGTTGATTATGTAGTTCTGTTAGTGTGTGTTTGTTCCCTGCGTGTAGTTTTGGATCCCCAGTAGTGTACTTTGATATTGTTTTCACTGTGCCTCCTCGAGTGTGTAGTTTCTGCCCATTTAACTTCATCATCACCGATTTGCTTTTATTTTAATCCCTTGTGGTCCTATTGTTTCTAGTGTGGTCTAGTGTTTGATGTTTGAGGTCTCTTAGATGTCCGAATGCTGCTATGTGACACAAGATGCCACTGTTTCTGTGTGTGCAGATGGACACTCACTCTGCTCTGTCCGTGGGGGTCTTCGGGGACTTCACATATCTTCTGGCCAGAAGAATACTCCCAGATCTGTCACAAAGGAAGGAAGACTTACAGCATCAAGATGCAACAACACTTGTGCACCTTCATCCAGAACCTCTGAGTATTTAGGTGAAATATATAAATGAACCACTACATTATACTGCACACCTGACAAAATAGTTTTTGCGTTACTCTTGTTACCTCAAGGGCTTTCTCCTTCCTCCAGGACCCAGAGAGGATTTGGTTGGTCACAGGGTCAATATGGAGAGAGTCCCCACAGATATGAGGACCTGACAGCATTCTGACAGGGTTAACACACAAATATTTTCTCACTAGATGGATTTGACACCAGGAAACTGTCATGCGGTAAAGTAGACAGTGTGGGTAGAAAGTTAGACAAAGTCAACCTTTACCTGACAGAGCGCTGTTGTCTAGTGTCCCAGAACTATAAGAATGCTTAGGGTTAGTGTTGTAAAGATTACTTTATTCTTCTCATGTCACAGCAAATAGTATTGCCAATGTTTAGACAAGCCTTTTATTTACATGTATAGTATTATCCCAGCCTCCTGAAATGAACTCATTCTCCTTCGCAGGGTGGAATGTCACAGCAAAGACTCGAAGCCTATGTCCATCCATAACCGTCCTGGAAGAGCTGAAAGAGCAGGAGGAGGAATTCCTTCTGATACTTAAAAGGCCTTTAATATCACAATTACAGGATTAAATGGGGAAATATCAAAGTATGGAAATTTATCATAAATGGAAATGCATGTTACTGAAAGCCTAGTGCTGAAATGTTTGCGTTGCTCCCATGGTGGATATAAAATATAATGAAAAGGTCCTGAGCCATTTGAGTTCTGACCCAATTTTTGGTATTTCGATTGTGTTCCTCTGTTGACAGACTGATGATATCAATTTTCCGAGAAAGAAGAAGTTTTTTAAGTTGTTGTCATAAATTGAGATAGAAATTGAGGTCAAGATAGCAACTTGCTTCCATTGAGATTACCTTGCACTACAGGTTGAAAGCCTCTGCTGAGTCTTCATGTCATATAGGTGTATTGCAGAGTCTGAGCCCCCAGCTGCTGCCGTCTCACCAGAGGCGGAGATGGACAGCGAGAGCGTCTGCCTTGGCTCTCCTTGGGAGGAACTTTCTCCAACCTCTCTTACAGTCCACAAACATTCATGCCCCCATATGTACCAGCACCTCACGCTGCCACTGGCATCTGAGGCGAAGAGGAAAACCAGTCCAGAAAGCCAGGAGGACGGAGAGGAAAAAATGAAGAACGGGTAAACATGCAATACTCACATGTGGCCAGAAGGAGGCTGTGAGACTTGGAGCTGAGAATGAAGCGCAGTGCAGTGACAGGGAGAGAGGACAGCAGGCTCTCACTGTCCCTAAGTGTCTGCACTAGACTGCTGGTGTCTGTGTTATACACCTAAGGAGTTAAATACCAATGAGTGGAGGTCATCCTAGATGGTATTTTCATATATTCGGAGAACCCTGAAATGACCTAACCTGCCCTAGCAGATCTCTTAGCCTGCATCCAAAGGGACATGTCTACCAAAAATAGCATGCTGAACTACAGCCAGCTTAAGGCTCATTGGCACTTGCTGAGAAAATTATTAAAAATACACAACAAAACCAACACAAAAATACACACATTCTACTCAAGCACTTAGAGAAGCTGTCAATTATCACAACCAAAGCATTATAAGTAATGAGTAACAGTGTGTATTTTCCTTGGCAGCAGGGGTGTAACGGTACACAAAAATCACGTTTTTTTTTTTCTTTATTAAATACTGGTTTACTGAACAAAGGATAACTATCTTTAATAGATAAAAAGTCTCTGTCAAATACTGCTGCAACCTATACTAATGAAAAACTAAAATTTATTTTAAAATAAATACATCCATCTTCTGTAACCGCTTACCCTGTTCAGGGTCATGGGGGGTCTGCAGGGAACAACTCAGGATGGGGCACCAACCCACAAGGTAAGGTATACCTGAACCACACACATACACACACCTACGGGCAGTTTGGTAACTCCAATAAGCCTCTGCATGTTTTTGGACTGTGGGGGAAAACCCAAGTACCCAGAAGAAACCCCACAACGACACGGGCAGAACTGCCAAACTCCACACACATGGAACCCAGGGAGAGACCTGAGCCCAGGTCCGAGAGCTGTGAGGCGACAGTGTTAACCACTGCACCACCATGCCGCCCCTTAACAGTAAACTAAAATAAATATTCTCTCAAGTAAATAACAATATGTATCCATTAAGGTGCACATTTAGAAAATTAATTGTACCTGATCTGTACTGTATTCACATCAACAGCTTTCAGCTTCACATTAGAACTGCGAAACTCAAATATTGTCTCAAAAAATACAACGTATAACAAAATAAATATCCATTATGGTGCAGCAGTTAAAAAAATGCCTGTGGTACATATGTGTACCGAACTAGAAGACCCGTACTGAAAATTTTAGGTATGAATATGTGTACCGTTACACTCCTACTTGGCAGTGAGACAGTGGATGATCTCCACACTGTCACATTTTAGGGAGTTGTGGGGTCTTTGGTCACTCTGCATCAGGACAGCTTTTGCATTCTGGTTTGCTGCAGCTGAGGCAGGGTCAAGGCTCCACTGCCACCTCTTCTATTGAGCTACAAAATATAGCCCAAAGTATGTGGACACCAGCTTGTCCAACATAGCTGGAACATCCAGTCAAGCTTTTTGGGGGTAGGAGTGTCTTTGGAGTTCCACTCGTCCTGTTAAAACTGCAGAACAGGGGTATTGAAATGGTGGACCTCCATGAAGTGCAATCTACAGATGGGATACCTCGCCCAGCAGACTGTGGTTTGTGTGGTGGATGCAATTTGGACCTTTGGACCTTGGGGAAAAATAACTGCGTACCTCTGCTCTAGAATTAGTAAGAAGACAAGGATTATCTAGCACGCAGGGTACAGCTCTCAGTTGTGTGATTCCTAGTTCAAGATCAGCAAGTCTGAGAACCCTGCTGAAGGTTTCATTGATTGCAGGTCATTGAAAAGGGTCATTGGCAATCCACCACCATATCATTCCTTTGAGAGACTATGACAAGTTGTCCTAGGCCTTTAGGTAAGGATCTGCTTGGGGCTGAGCAATATGGCAAAATATTTTATTTCAAAATTATTTTTTTCATTTCAGTCAATATTGATTATTTATTATTAAATTATCACTAATTACAGTGCTTTGCAAAAGTATTCACCCCCCTTGGCATTTTTCACGTTTTGTTGCCTCACAACCTAGAATTAAAATGGATTGTTTGACAGTTTGCACCATTTCATTTACAGAACATGCCTATGTATTTCTTTTTTATTGTGAAGCAAACAACAAATAGGACAAGACAACAGAAAACTTCAGTGTGCATAACTGTTCACCCCCCTAAAGTCAGTACTTCGTAGAGCCACCTTTTGTGGCAATTACAGCTGCAAGTCGCTTTGGATGAGTCTCTATGAGCTTGCCACATCTTGCCACTGGGATTTTTGCTCATTCCTCAAGGCAAAACTGCGGCAGTTCCTTCATGTTGGATGATTTTCGCTTGTGAACAGCAATCTTCAAGTCTGACCACAGATTCTCAATTAGATTGAGGTCTGGACTTTGACTAGGCCATTCCAACACATTTAAATGTTTCCCCTTAAACCACTCGAGTGTTGCTTTTAGCAGTATGCTTCGGGTCATTGTCCTGCTGGAAGGTGAACCTCCGTCCCAGTCTCAAATCACAGGCAGACTGACACAGGTTTTGCTCAAGAATATCCCATTTTAATTCTAGGTTGTGAGGCAACAAAACATGAAAAATGCTAAGGGGGATGAATACTTTTGCAAGGCACTGTATCTCACTGTATAATTCAAATTATTATTTCTTCACTTCAAGGCTCTTTTTTTTGTTAAATTGACCTTACATAGATTCAAAGCAAAAAAATGCTAAATGGACTGCAAACTATAATCTAATTATACACTTTTTCGTCATAGGGCACAATACTAGAAAACTCCAAAATGGTTTGTATGGTTTTTTCATTGACTGCCTCACTACTAATTCTAGGGAACAGGTTTGACATCGCTGGCAGAGTAGCAATTTTGATAGGCTGTTGTACGCTATTAACCAATGTTGCTTTTCAACAGTTTATCCTTTTTTTAATCTTTAAATTTTATATGATTATAAGCCAATAATGTAAACATTTATATCGCTCAGCCATATGTTTGGTTATTGCAGTCAAGTAGGGATTTTTCATATAGACTATTCATTTCTTGTTACACTCCATTGAAGCTGGTCATCCTAGCATTGTGTGATGCCGTCTCTGGGATCATGGCATTGACATCCGTAAAATAGATAATTTTATGTACGTGAATGGTATTATGTACGTAAATGGTGAAGGGAGCCTACATATATTTATGTATGTGTATTTGTTTAAAACAAGCATATAAAATATAGAATATGTTTACAGTAATGTAATCTGAGGGTACTCTGATTGGTTATGTTCTCTAGTTGAGCCACAGGTGAATAATACAGCTGGTGTGATACAAGGAAGAGGTGTTCTCCCTTATCTATATGCCAGTAGTGCAGAGACTGCTCAGGCCAGGCTAAAGAGATTGCAGCCTCTTTTGCAAAGTTGTGCTGTGGTTTCTGGTTTTGCTGAACATGTTGTTTCCTGTTTGTTGACTGATCTATCTATCTATCTATCTATCTATCTATCTATCTATCATCTATCTATCTATCTATCTATCTATCTATCATCTATCTATCTATCTATCTATCATCTATCTATCTATCTATCTATCTATCTATCTATCTATCTATCTATCTATCTATCTCACGACTGGGCCAAGAGGAAAGGACTAACCGGGATATGGGTGTCTGCACTCTGCAGTGTGGAATGTAGTCTTTTGCCTGTACTGTGCTTCATTACTTCTTAATGTAACTATATATTATTTAATTTTGTCCTGTTGTGGCAATTGCTTCTATATCTGAAAGTAAGAGGTTTGAGATGCCATATAATGCTAATTCCAACAGTGCACAGAACACGCTAAAGCTTCTTCACAATAATACATCCAAAAGTATCTACCTTAATTGTTCCATTACTGAGTCCAACAGCCAGAAGAGCACCATCATTATTAAACTGGCACGCCATCACCTCACAGCCACATTCCCTGGAGAGAAGAGGATATTAAAAATGTACTGAAATGATTTACTAGTGTTACATTTATGGAAATCCCATAGAGAAACCTACTCACAGCTGGCTGTATATACGGAGGTCTCCTTCAGCTTTGGGCTGCACGTATGAGCTCCAGTGTGATCCTATAGTTTTCTGTGTTTCTGTACATACGCTCTCCTCACGGCTGTCAGTGCAGACATCATCACTCTGCAATATTGTGCATGTGCCCAAATCACTTTCTGCTTCATCAGTTTCACTCCTGCTCTCAGTGTCAGTCAGTTCTGACTGTGAGCGAAGACTCTGATGTGGATTATCAGCATCCACAAAGGTTGAAGGACTTCGTGACATCTAAGGGATAAAGTACAACAAACGCGTAAAGGAAAAACACAAAGCCCTCTGGAATAACTATAACATACAGTACTGTGCAAAAATCATAGGCAGTCAGAATGTTTCAAGCCATTTATCTGGGATGTAACTATATATTTGTTGAGAAAAAAAAACACAATTTAACATGAAAAACGTGCAAACGAACAGCAACACAAAATAACAATAATTTCTTCTGTTTTGAAAAAAAAGTTACTGTTGGATGACTTTGATTCCCAAACCTCTCCTCAGGGACACCTCAGCCATTCCATATATCTGACACATTCCAACAGCTCTCTTAATTAGTTAAACAATTTAATTAGTTAAATAACTTAATGAGTTATTATGACAAATACTGGGGTGACTTTTGAAGAGGTTTGGAAATGGCTAAGCTAACATATACTTTGAGAGATATGCTATCATGAATATCATTAAATAATCATTTTTTGACTGTCTATGTATATTAAAATTGGTCAGAAATTGAATTATATTCAGTACTCAATTTGCATTCTAGCTGTTAGTTTTTTGTTAGTTTTTTTAAAAATATTCAGAAGAACTGATGGGGGGGTGGGCTACTGGACCTTAACTGCTTACATTAATTTGAGCATATGAGCAGGTGCACTTTGTAAAGTGACCATCGAACACAAAGGTATGTATACACACATTTTATTATAGGGCAGCGAAAACACGGTAGTAGGTAGACAAAAAATGCGACTTTGAAAGTTATGTTTTGTTAGGTAAGCAAATGAAATGGATCATACGTAGGTATTCAACTGAGTAACTTCCAGTAAAACTCATATGTTACGTAGCTACCCTGCAATCTGAAAACGCAACAAAAACGAATACCTTCAACGCTAATTACAGTGATGTAATTGTTAAACGTATTTCAACACAAATACAATGGAAAAGCAGTTCTTTATCTCAACTAATTGCTTTATCTCTATTCGTATATACAGATTTTACCGTATTTACTCACACTCTTCGGTGAATAACAGCGGTGTCTTAGCAACCAAACCAAACTGAACAGCAAGGCTTGATGGGGGAGGGGGGGGGGGGGGGGGGGTCTGGGGGGGCGGGGTGGGGTGGGGGGTGGGTCATGTCGCGGCCAGTACACTACACCCTCTTCTATGTGTTTATGCACATACATTATGCGTGGTCAACTCAGTATTCTCACTGCGTTTTACAAGTTACAAAGTGCTCCTAATATCAATATAATGTACTATAGTATAATGTATTTGCATTTACTGCATTTCACAGACACATTTACCAGAGTGACGTACTTAAGTGAACACATTTTGATTCTGGTTCAGTAGAACCTGGTTAAGAATACTATCACTCTAAAAACTCCGTTGGCAAGTAATACATTTTTGTATGTTATCTAAAAATAATAATTAATATATATACAGTGGTACCTCAGTTCTCGAACTCATTAGAACTCAAATTTCTTAAAAGTCGAACCAACCAGTTTGAAAAAAATTACCTAGAACTCCATCTGAATCTCAGAAGTCAAACCGTGAACGCCGACCTAAGATAACTTGTACGCGCGAGGAAATGAGTCACGCCGCACGTCTCTCAGCGGAAACAAAGGGTAAAGCTTCAGTTTCAGCCTCGCATTGACTTCGAGAACTGAAGTACCACTGTATTTATTTTAGACAGTATAAATACATTTAGACAACGATAGACAGTAACAGTATTTTTTATTATATCATAAAATACATTTAAAAATAAAGATTTCTTATTAATTATTTTAATATTAATAATAAACCATTAATACATTTTATTATAATAATATTGTCATGCCGAACAGGGACGGAACGGAGACAAAAGGCGCAGACGTCAGGGTATCGGGGAATACGGGGTTTAATTACAGGTAAGGCAGGCAAAACGCAGATGGACAATACAATGACTGGACTGGGGAAACAAACTGAAACCCAGACTAAATACAGAGGACTAATGACAACAACCAGAAACAGCTGATCACACGGGGATTCCACATGGCGATAACGAGGGGGCGTGGTACACGGAAGGAGCGGACGATCGGGGCAGGACACATTTTTTATTTTTTTTTAATTTACACATTGTTTGGATACATTTATTTTCTTACTTTACAAATTACTGTTTTGATAAATGTGCTTAGATGTGTTTAGTACAGTGTATGCTCTTCTTGTTTTATCCGGTTCATTTTCTGTTTAAATGCTAAAAAACATAGCCTATTTAGCTGTAATTTTTTGGGGCCAAGAACCAATTAACTAGTTTTCTATTGTTTCTTATGGGGAAATTCTTTTTAGGACTCGATCCGGAGTTCTGAACGAATTAAGTTCGAGCTCTGAGGTACCACTGTACTTTGCAAAAGGAGGTACTTTAGTGAACAGCGCCTGGGAGGGGCTTGGGGTGCTGTGGCTACCCCTATGATAGCCATAGCACCCACCCTAACAAATTCCTGTGGTTTTTAAGATTTATTTTAATGGGTGAATACTATAATTTGATATCTGGCCTTGCGTTTAAAAGTGAATGTCATTGTAACTATCGCAGAGCGCGCACTGCGTACGTGCGTGAGTGACTGCTTGTGTATGTGTGTATGGGGTGTTGCAGTAGAACGTGTGAGAACCAGATACCTTACATTTCAGAAAAGTAAAGCAACCCCGTAATACCAAGGGGGCATTTCACAAAGCACGGTTTTTCTTTGCTTAGTCAGATAACTTGTTGGATTTAAGGTAGTCTGGGACAAATCTTCGTCCACTTAAATGTAGCTCAGACTACCTTAAATCTGACATCCCTCATAGTCATCAGGCTAAGTAAGAAATCTTGCTTTGTGAAATACGCCCCAGCAAAAGTAAATGTCTGGCGCCGCCCACGTCCTCTAACTCAGTACAGTGTAATACAGTGGTACCTCGGTTCTCGAACTTAATCCGTTC